AAAAAAAAAAAAAAAAAAAAAAAAAAGCAAACATTTTTAAAAACGCTTTGGAAAACAAAATTAATTATTTCTAAATGAAATTGTCTTCGCGCTTTCCATTTTATTTCTAGCTCCTATTACGTAACATGTGCGAGACATTTTTTGAAAGATGATACGATGAACTTACAACGATTATATAAAGTTCTAAATGATTCTGATTTTCTGAAGCAGAAATCTCGTTCTCACTGTTTCTTTACTGTTTTCCTCTACTGTTTCTTTCAAGGCTGGTTATCTTATGTTTTTACTGCATTTAATTTTATATCGTTCAATCATTATCCTCTCTCTAATGGCGACCACCTGCGAAGAAAATTCTGAAAATGTGGCGAGTCGCCTTAGAGACACTCTTTTCGTGAAGGCAACCTAAGACGACCAAAAGACAAAAGTATTTCAGAGAACATATTGTTACGAAATTTACAGGCGCAGTAAGATGGCTTCCCCGCAAAGCAGTTTTAGGTTGCCATAAAATGGCAAATAAAAGGCAGGATTGCCAAAAATAAAAGGCAAGATTGCCACTTTTGGCGAAAAATCGTCCATTTGGCGACAAAATTGGCGATACACCATGGACGGATGGAGAACCATCTGGAATGAATTCTTACCAGTTTAGCCAAGAATGTTCTCGAACACAAGCCGAAAGCTATATAAACCCTGCTGGTCCGCAGTCAGAGTGCCTCGCAAAGAGTGCGAGATAGTGAGAGTGTCTCGTTTAGAGTGCGAGATAGTTAGTATCCAGTGAGTGTCTCGCCTAGCGAGCTGATAGAGAGTGTGTCTCGTCAGAGTGCGAGTTAGTTAGTTTTCGAGTTGGTGTCTCGCCTAGCGAGTCAATCCCTGCGGAGTCGATCGAGTTGACAGCGAGTGCCGAGTGGGTCGTCGAGTGCACCGAAGGAATCTCTTAGTGCATCGTCGAGAGAGCGTGTTGAGCTCCAGGAACGACTGAACCGAAGAGTCGGGAGCTGTGCTCTGTGTATCGAGTGCATCGAGAGTTGCAGCGTGGAGAATCTCAAGAGTACGTGGAGTTCCGAGAACGACCAAGCAGAGTCGGGAGCTGTACTGTGGTGCTTTGCAGTGAAGCTGTTTCTACCGTGATAGCCTGATAACCTGAAGGCTGTGTCGTTGATTGTTCCAGCGAGTGTTTATAGTAGATCTTCGACGACTGGAAAACGTGACTTTGGAGCTGTCTGATTAAATATTAGCCCAATAAAGTGTGTTTCGATACTTCATCAAGTAATATTGTCTTTTCCAAATCCACACGACCCCCGTACGAACGTGAAGGAGGAAAATAACGTAACAACTGGTGTCGGGGGGGACGCAACAATATATTGGTACTGAACATCACCTCTCTAAGGAGACCACTCGCAAAAATTTATATGTGGCTGATGGTATTAAAGACGTCGCATTTAATGCTCATATTTATTTATATTCTTTGACATACTGATCGTCTTGAGGAAGTGGTGGAGACGAGAGGATTTTAATTTGAAAGGTTTGTTTTTTTAATTTATAGGCTGTTGTTGGTTACAAAACTGACTTTAATTTCAACAACAGCAAATAAATAAAGAAAATTACAATAAGTAAATAAATAATCAGTATAGACAACAAGAAGTCTACTGACTTCAGTTAGAAACTTCGTATAAACCCATATAAATCAACAGAAGACTGATTTGGCATCCATTTCGATTGTATTGCAATGGATTCCAAATACAAAGTAAGACCAGTAAGAAAAACAGTATAAGTCATTATAAACCACATATAAAAAGAGGTAGAAAATTCTATTATTGATGCTGATTGCATGGGTGTCAGCTGATACCAGAAAAGAAAAACCTACAGAGATCAATAGACACCAGTAAAATTCAGTAGAAACCAACAGAATTCTATGGGAACCAGTACAGAGTTTGACCGGTTTCTATGGGGCATTTTGATACCAGTAGAAACCAATAGAAACCAGTAAAAGTCAGTAGAAATCCCCAGAATTCTATAGATACTATGACGATTAGACAAAGGCCCTCGGACTTCCAGGTGCTTAATGAGAACTTCCTGTTGTGTTCAGAGACAAAATGGACAGCCGAACTTTGAAGAAAGGTGCAGCGGAAACCCCCTAGTACCACTTGGATAGAAATAACATTTTAGGATGTTATGCAGACGAAGTCTGCTAACGCAAATCATGCTTTAAAGAAGCTGCAGGACATTATGTCCAATATTGAATCCTGGTGTACTAAATGGAGGATATCGATCAATGCGCAAAAGTCGCAACTACTTGTCATCAGAAGAAAACATACACGGACCCCATTCAAAAGGAAACTTTATCTTTTCAATGAACAGGTGCCGCAAGTCACAAAAGCCAAGTACCTCGAGGTAGTACTGAATAAAAAACTAACTTGAAACGACCATATCAGTAATGTGAAGGAAAAAGGCTTTCGCTGTAATCAACAGTTTAAAGCTCCTTCTTAATAAATTTTCCAAAATTAGATCTGCGTCGAAAGCGGCTTCTGTATGTAATGAACATATACAGGCCTATCATTACATATGCTTCGCCAGCCTGGAATACGGCCAAAAATAGAGACCTGTACATACTGCAAGTAATTCAAAATAGAATACTTACAGTGATCACTAACGCTCATTACTACGTCAGCAACGCCACTTTACACAGAGACTTGAAACTTAGTAGTACAATTGAGCAGCATTTTGCACAAACCTCAACAGGAATTTCTTCATGAAAGCTCTTAACTGTGCACATTTGTCTAATTTAAACACACTAAATTATACAATTCTAGACGAGGACTGTGAAATTCGACCACTAGCGGCCCACCTTGCAAATGATTCTAACTTTCCTACTCAATGATTAGTAGTGTGCAATATAGTGCAATATCCTGTATATAGTGTACATATTGTATATATTTTTCTGCTATATTTCTACTCTTTCTGTATTTGTATTGTACTGTTACTGTAAGACACTGTGCTTTTTTCTTCAATTAACTTAGGGCGTTCCACTTATTGTCCATGATCGCGCGATGTCTCGGTCTCCCCCTTTTTTCCACCTCCTCCGCTCCTTCTGGGATACCACCATGGAGGTAGGAGGTAGGGATACCACCATGGAGGTGGTACTTCCTACCTCCATGGATACCACGGGCAGATAGTACCATGTGATGCGCCCATGTGGCAAATTTGATTGAGCCGGAAAAACTGCACACTGTGTGGTAGTCCAGCAATAAATTAATCAGTCAGTCCCCCTAGTGCGGTTTCCACCGGTCATAAGGGACTAATTATTCTCTTTCCGGGTTTCTAACAAAACAAGAGAGCTTTGTGTAAAAAGGCTTTTGATGCTGTAAAATAAGCGAAAGCAGACGCATTTTAGCGTCGCCGCGTCAGCGGGCTTTTTATATATTAAGGCTGTAATGATTCGATTATTTTAATATTTAATCAATAATTTCTAATTAAGCTTTTAAAATAAATATTTTAAAAGACAACCTGTCTTTTCTTGCACCCAACACAGGTGTTCTGACGTTACAATATCCATAAAAAGTTTCACTGGTTTCTATGAGGGATTTTCAGCAGGATAACTACACAGTCCTTAAACTTAAGTTTTCGGAATTAAATTAACTCCTTAAACTTCAGTTTTTAAAGTATGAGAATCACTTTCCTATAATGGGCATTTTGCTAGACCACCTATCATAATATTTTGCATCTGATCTGCATAAATTATAAAACTGACTTCTTGCATACAAAACATTTATTTTTCTGTATGCAAATTTCTGAGTGCTTAAATTTATAAAATTTGCAAAATTAGCTTTCATAGTAATCCCCCCCCCGAATGGCGGGCACTTGCCTATAACGACATTGGCCACTTCTAAGGCTAGAAATCGCAGTCATTTTATTGCGGAGGCACTTAACAGGCGGCCATCGTTACCTCCTATGAAGGAAAGACAATTTTACATCCATGCCTTTTCCGGGATTAGAGTGTGTGTGTGTGATTATGGCAAAGACTCGAGGGCTATCTGCCTAAGGGAAGGGATGCCTTCGTGGAGGACTTTCTAAGGGAAACTGGCTCGTATACACGTTACACATGGGGAAAACCACGAAAACACCCATGCAGCCAGCCCGTTCGCGGGATTCGAACCTCGGACCGAACTACCAGTGTTCAGCGACTTTACCGCTCGGCCGCTGGTGGGCTCTCCGGGATTAGAACACGGTCCCTTAGGTACAGTCAGGCTTTCCTAACCACTATATCGTCTATGCGGCCACTTTTATTGTAATAAAACAGTATATTTTTTATTTCCTTTAAACCTGTTCCATGTATGTTCCAATATATAACCTAGATCTTATTCGGGAATTAATAATGATATGTTTTTATTCCCGAGCCAATCATGAAATTTCTTGCGAATGTAACTTTCTGTCTAAAGGATAGAGGCACTGATTCTTAAGATTCAGGATAAAAGAATAAATTCGGTATGTTAGACAGGAAGGAAAATCTTCAAGAGAATCTCATTCTCAAGGGGGGGGATTCTTTTTCGATAGTTAAAATTACTGCTCGCAGTCAGGTTCTACGCAATCTATATTTCTTTGAAGCTTCTGAAACTTTGATGCAGAACAATCCCGTTAATGACTTAGCTCCCATTATGATCTTGCTGAAGGTGTGGCCCTACCTCTCTTCTTTTGGCGAAGCACACCAACTTTCAAACAAACTTCACTCCGCTGCGTTCACCGTAAGAGCAAACGCTTTTATAAAGCTGAGATAAGTTCTAACGAAACAACAGTCACCGATAAATTTTTATTTATGCTATGTTTATGAAAAACCCCTATATTTGTTTGCTACATTTCTATCACTTTAACAACCATTAAAACTGTGGCTTAGAGAAAAGAAAAACACGGAAAATTCAGTCAAAAAATAAATAAATAAAGGATGGATGAAAGAGACAGACGGAAAAAAGAACAGCAACTTCAAAAAGATTCAAAATTATTTAGCACATTACCTTAAATTTATCGGGAATTTGACCAGCTTCTTTCAGTTATCTAGGAGAAAAAATTAAGGAAGGTTACTATTCGAATTCTACACACATATTTCCATATTTTAAATAAAAATCTCTAATGAAAAAAAAAAAAAAAAAAAGGACACTAATAAGAAAACATTAGTTCTAAAATTACCAGTATTAAACAATATATCATACTTTAATACGAGCTTTTACCTAAAATAACACACTATATTCTGCAGTCCCACATGCCTCAAAATCGTTAACTATGTTTTCTTTTCCCTCTCATTAACTTACATTCGCTTTCTTACATACGGACAGGAACAGGGAAAAGTGAACGGAGCACCAGAACTTTGCATATGCTCACACAAGTATTGCTACGTCGCACTACTGCACAAATCCAAAGCTTCCCTTAGTGCCCAAAAGGCTTGAGTGGCACAACACCAAGCAGTGAATGATCGCTACCCATAACTCCAGGACCGTTCCCTCCAGTGGGGACCGGCCCTTCATCCGTTGGCTCGGCATTTATTAATTTTGTACAAAATTTACAATTGGTACCATTTACAGTGGTGAATATAATATCGTTTGCAATAATTTTATTAATATAATCCAAATATAAAATGACAATATAATTTAGAAATTCATAAATAAAGAATAAAATTGAATAAAAATGAAATGATAGTTAAAGAAAATAAACTTCATAATACAGTCTTTGTCCTTTTTTAAGTACGTCTTTATCATTGAAAAGTTTTTAAATTCAAAAGTTCTTTCTTTTAATAAGCCTTTGCCATTTGAATGTCCATTCCTTTCATAAGTTTTATCGAATTGAAATTTCTTTCCTTTTAAAAATCTTTGTCATTTAAAAATCCTTTTCTTTTACAGAAATCTAAAGTTCATATCATAGTCTTTATTCTTAGAAACAGGCATTATCCTGTAAAGTCTTTGCCCTTATTCATAATAAGCTTTCATTCTTTAAAAGCCATAATTTAAAATTAAATTATTTTAAAAGGGTTTAAAAGGTCTTGCTTTTAGTTTCTTCATATTTAATAGCTTTATATAATAAACAGCATTTGGTAATGAGGGGAGAATGTTATGAAGTTTGATTTGTATTAAACAATTAGGACGTTAAAGGACTCTAGCATATTTCTTCTTTGTCAAGTGACATTAATTTTTCCATAATTCTGATTATTTTCTGGCGAGTTTGAGGGGTTCGTTGAAGGTATCGGATATCTGCCATATTGCTAATTGATCGGATTTTACAAAGTAGGTCTACTTTGTAAAATCCGATTTTACAAAGTTAAATGCCATTGGAAAAGATACAGAGATCTGAAGTACTAAGGTTTCTATTAAAATAATACGTGGGAACACTTTCTTACACAGGGTAATTCAAAAATATCTGGTGAAATCACCCTATATGCGGTCAGGTCGTAAATTTAGAACTCATTTTTTTTTCACGGGGTGCTGAAAACGAGGGGATAATCTTGCTCGTGGTCTTCAGAAAATGTGGGGATCGTTTAAACATCTAACTTCTCTACATTCAGTTTTTATACAGAGGAAAATACAAATTGAATTTTTCGAATGAATGCAATTTTGTACAATGAAAATGTATTATTGAACTATAAATTGTAAGGCAAATAACATTTTTTTTTTTTTTTTTTTTTTTTTTTTTTTTTTAAAGTAAGCGTAAAAAGACAGATATTTGTTACCTGAAATATTGAGTTTTTCATTTTGAATGCTATGTTCCATGTATGCGAAGAAGCTGACTATCTGAGAAAATAGTCTTAACCCAAATGGCCTTCAACCTTTTCACGTCTAAGGGACTGTTTGTCAATTACATTGTGGTAGCTGCTTTTTGGTTAATTTTCTAATGACATATAAGCATTAAATTATTTTTAATTTGAGACTTATGAATAAAATAACGCAAACTAGACTGCAGATAATTCTTCAGAATGAAGTTAATACTGAAAAATACATTTATCCTACAACAAATCTTTTAAAAAGTGTGGAATTAGCAGTGCACTAGGTGGAAATAAGGATGACATTGTGTTTTAGGAAAGCGGCAAATCTAGTTACAGTGACAACCTAAGTGAAAATAACTATGATTTTAGCAACAGTGATGACGAATTTCTTGGATTCTAAGAAACGCTGATGTATTTGCTAATTTTTTAATGCAACATTTTTGTTTTCGTTGTATAAAGTGTTATCATTAAAATAGGTACTTAATCTTTTTCTGTCTAAGTATTTTTCCCAAGTTTTAACTTGATAAATCACTGCGCGTCTTACAGGCCAGGAAATTGAAGTATAGTATAAATCGCCCTTCATTTCGTATCAGTGCCGACGATTTCGATGAAAAAGGGTACCTTTTTAAAAACGAACTTCTTAACGAAGAAAGCCGTTTTATGTACAGCATAATGTCTAAAAATACCGTCAAATTAAACCGTAATCTTGACTTTAATGCTTTTGTATGCATTTCTTGAATTGATTAATAAATGTAAATTTGTAATTTAAAAAAATGGTCATATAACTAGCATGTAACTAAATAAAATATAAACATTTTATTTAGTTACATGCTAGTTATCTGTGTTATTGCTTCGTTTCTGGTATAGACCCCCCCTCTCAGTAAAAAGCGTTTTGCTCCTCGATCGCAAAAATTTCTCGATTTTCCATTACTTAACCAGTGGAATTTCCTAGTCCCCCCCCCAATAAAATTACAACTCTGCGACAACAACTGAGTGAAATATTTGCAGCTATTTACACATAAATTGAATGTTTATTTAAAAATAAAATATTTCCTAATTTTTATATCCCTTTTCTAGTTTATATGAAATTTCAAAATTTAACGATATCAGTTAATGAAATACTTGCAAGTAATATAATGGTTCTGCGAAATATATTCTTGATTCCAAACCCTTACTGCTATGCATCAGCCCATCGCTCTTAGAATACATTATTAGTCCAAAGGGCAATTTGCACAGAAGGATTATTAATTTCATTTTGGCATTTTGCGTTGAAAATTATAAACGGCGAATCACTTTTCAAATTGTTGCCACCAAATATTATCGCCCTGTATTTTATTTAAAGAAATTAAATAATGAAGAGTCTGCATGAATGTATGCGTGTTTCTCGCTTATGATAAAACGACGGTACCTAGAGCCATCAAAATTTGAATAACGTAATCTTCCATAGAATATCGGCGTGTGGAAGCCCTAACTTGAAGTAAAAATTTGTTTTATTATCGATTTCATATTTTATAACACTTCCAACGAATTTTTGATTAACAAAAACTCAGCGATTTCAAAGCGTGCAATGGCAACACTGTACGAAAAAAAAAATTTTTATCTCCAGCGCGCGATATATATTCCTGACATACTGATACTGTATGAGACCTAAAAACACTTTTCTTTTAAAATATATCTCCCCTTATGATCCCTGACGCAGCCGTTAACTTTCCCCTTCCGTAATTAACTTCAGTCTCTTGCTCTTGACTGCATTTGCAAAGCCACCTCTGCTTGGCGTATATCTTTATACCCTCCCCCCCACCGTATATTCCCAGCGGTGTACAGTATAATTAATGAAATGCTGTTAATGTATAAGTTATCAATAATATTTGACTGTATTTATGTATGTTGCATTAACATCTGCTTCGTACAGCATTCGTTGTCAGCAGTAGTAAGTGTTGGAACGTATCCTCGTTGGCACGGTGTACGATATTCTTTTTTAAATTACTAGCACATACTATGCTTTCATGTATAATTTTGTTACAAATGCCGAAAGAATTTCGACACAAGATAGGCTTATATAAATACGACGAATCCATGATCAAACAGTCCATTAGCAAGGAAACGCGAGTTCTCCGTACTTTATTACACAGAGCTTAATAAATTACGCGACATCCACTGCGCAACAAACGGGCGGACTCGGTTTACAACCCACTCACATCAAGCTCATTAATTATTGGTCCAGATACTAAAGCACGAACTTCATGACTCACTACATACAGGCTACTAAACACGTAAACGTATATACCACACTCACAGAAATCTTGCATTAAGGCCTCATTTCTAAGAACAGTAAACAGCAACTTTACTCGCACGCACATATAAGCGGGGGAAAAAAATGTAGAGTGAACGAATATAATTTTCTGGCGTTTTACAACGGGAATCGCGAGTACGTTTAAAAGTGAAATGCTCGCCTTCTCACTTCTGCTAACCCGAACGTAGCACAGGAAAAGCAATGGAGTCCTAAAAATTTTAAAGCCCCATAAAAAAGGGAAACTGGCGCCATCGCCCTGCTCGTAGGCAGAAAAAGGCCTTTTACCCCGCCTACTGGACCCGGTCAGTTTTATGACCGCTCGCGCTCTGAATTCTTGATCCCCAGTTGAAAGAAGGGAATGGAAGACATTTCTATTCAGATGTCAGACTGGTATAACAATTTTTATTTCTGCTCTTCTTTTTAGCAAGTAAAACTAGAAAAAAATTCCAAAACATTGTTGTGAAATTAAAATATTATGATATAACATTTAATATCTGAAATATCATTACATGTATCGATGAATTTCCTCAAAAACTGTAGAGACATTAGATATTTTTCGGAAGCACACAAGATGAAAAATTAGCAACGCCTTCGGCGGGTATCGAACCGCGGAACTCTGGAATACGCGCCCAGCGTGCAGACCACCACATTATGAAGGCATGCCTTTTATGTTGACATTACGCCTCTTTTTTGGGGGGGAGGATGGGGCGGAGGGTCATTTAGCCCTTTTACGATTGTCCGATAGTTATATCTGGCATCGACTCAATCTCAATCAATTAGCACACATCTAAAACCGAAACATTCCACATCGTTGATCTGACGCCAACCTGGTGAATCATTATTTATTATACTTTCCTTTCATCACCGCATGTTTATCAAAACATGACAACTTGAAGAATGACTCATGTAGCGATACCTAAACAATTATTTTATGTTAGTAACTGAATAATAAAGGAGTATGGTAACCTTTTATGTTGACATTACTCTTGGCGATGATTACAGATTTAAGTT